CAGTATTGGGTAAATTTCCTCATTTGGTTTTTGTGCTGTAAATAGATTTGAATAGAAACATTATTATTAACATCAGTCCTTAACCCTCAAGGGGCGTACAATCTGAGGTCCCTAACTTACATTCATACATACACATACTAGGGACAATTTAGACAGGAGCCTATCAACCTACCAGCATGTCTTTGGAGTGTGGCAGACTGGAAGCAGTTGAAACTCTAATTTTGTACCTCTTTGAAATGACAGATTGAACCCAGAGGTTCGGATGTCTCAGATCCAGAATGGCTCAAATGCCAACAGATGTCCCTATTCCCAAGAATAAGGTGCCCCTTCATTGTGAGGAGAACTTTTGGGCAGGTTTGGGGAGGAGTCCAGGGCTTGCGATGGAAGGAGGTGCCAAGTCTTGCTTTGGAAGTAGATGTCTGGGGAGAGTGAATGCAACTCTTTTACTGAGCAGTAGTAGCTGTATATAGAGAAGCCTTTGGCCTTATGCACACTAGGCTCTTTTGGAAGCCTTTCTTCTGCCAAGAGAAAAGTAGCCTTAAAACCACACATAAAGCTGCATTTTCCAAATGCATTTGGACGCTTTCAGGTATGTCAAGTGTTTGGACATTCATTAATTTCATTAGTGGTTAGGTGTATTTAGATGCTTTTGCAAGCATTTAGGTGTGTTGGCCATTTTGTCTGCCCAAATAATCCTCTCCTGAGCACAATTTTAGCAAGTAGTATGCTATGGGAGAACTAGGAGAAGAGGAGCAGTCAAGATTGCCGGCGGAGGACCTCAGAAGCAGAGGTTCAGGACTGCTTTGTCTCAATTTCATTGCACAAAGCTGGGAAGTATAACGTGTTATTTAACGGTTTGTGCCCACCCATAGTACATTTACTGTGGGCGGGTGGCAAGGGCAGGCTGGGTCACAACCATGTAGGCCACCCAGGCTGTCCTCGGTTAGGGGCGTGTAGCGTGCCACTCCCACGACTGCTGTGTCCACTGGACACAGCAGGTTGCAGCTCCCGATGCCCAGCCACTTTGAGCGGTCTGGGGATCATGTGATCGGTTTACTTTGTCAACAAGGTTGTTATGAAAGTCATTCATAACAACTCTGCTTTCTATAGAGCAGTGGTCTCCAAATTGTGGTTCTTTGCTTGCCTTAAGGCAATACTTGAGGCAATACTCCTGCCACTGACAGCAACGATGGGGCATAATTCCTGCCACTGATATCAACAATGGGGCACTATTTCTTCCACTGACACCAACGATGGGACAAAATTCTTTCCAATGACACCAAAAATGGGGGTACTATTCCTCCCACTGGCATCAACTACTTCACCTAATCGCAAAGATCAGGCATGGTTTACTCCCACTGGTCACAGCTCACCCCCCCAAAAAAAAAATCTGAAAGACAGTAAACTGGCCCTTTCTTTGGAAAGTTTGGGGACCACTGCTATAGATTGATGCTGTGATTGGCCCACAGCTATCACATGGTACCTGGGCCAACCACAGCACCATGTAACATGTGATTAGATATAGCCAATCACAGATCACTAGTAATCACAGCCGTTCTGAATTAAACCCATTCATGATAGTTCAAAACATTGCTGTTACAGTGATCATCATTTTAACAGCAAAGTGTTAACAAAATCTATGATCACCCCCCCCCTTCCCAAGTAGTACTTTGTTACTGTGGTGAAACTAAACTACTACAGACAGAGGGGGTTCCCCCTCCTCTCCATGACCGCTATGTCCACCACACACAGTGGAATGCAGATCCGCAGCTTTGCTTAATTTACTAGTAAGCTGTGAATGGTCAACAACAGTCATATGATACCTGGGCCAATGACAGCACCCCGTACCATGTGATTAGCTGTAGTCAATCACAGATCACTAGTATTCACAGCTGTCATGAGTTTAACCCATTCATGACAGTTCAAAGAATTTCTGGTACAATGATCTTCACTGTACCAGCAAAGTTTAAAAAAAAAAAATAAAAAAAATACCTGATCACCCCTCCAGTGTAGTACAATTATACTATGATAACACTGAACTACTCTGATGAAAGTATTTACAAAAAAAAAAAAAAAAAATAATAATAATAATAGTTAACAAATATAAAATATTTAATAAAAATTAAATTCAAGTTTTTTTTTTGTTTTTTGTTTTTTAACATGCTGTCACTAATCAGTGTCCCTGATCACTGCAACGCCATTACAATTGCCTCAGGGCCTTCAAGAAATGAAATCGACCATCAGTACATCAGGAACTATCAATTTTCAGAAATATATCCCATAGTTTGTGGACGCTATAACTTAGCAGAATACATTTTGGCCCAAATTTGTGAAGAAATTATATTTTTTTTTATTGGATGTGTTTTATAACAGAAAAAAATTTTAAGTCTTTTTTTTATTTTTAAAATAAAAAATAAACCCAGTGGTGATCAAGTACCACCAAAAGAAAGTTCTATTTGTGTGAATTTTTTTTTTATAAATTTCATTTGTATACAACGTTGCATGACCATGCAATTGCTAGTTAAATTAGTGCAATGGCAAATAGAAAAAAATGGCTTGGTCATGAAGGGGGTAAAATCTTCCGGAGCTGAAGTGGTTATAGCGGAACTAAACCTGTTAGTTTAACGGTTTTCCAAAAGAGTTAAGCTGGGCAAAAAAAAAAACCACACTATAAAGAAAATCAGAGCAAAAATTCTGTATGGGGAATGATCGGGTCGATTACCAGATCGTTAGTATAGTGATTTTGACAGCCAATTCTGACTATTCAGGCAAAAAAAAAAAAAAAAAAAAAAAAAACCGTGTGAGCTAGAAAATTTTATCGTACTTGAAACCAACGTCTGATTTTCACTCAATGTGTACAGTAATTGTACGGAAATAATCAAACAGAAAAAAGCATGCATGATCAGAAACAAAGAACAACCTGAAAGAAAGTGGCAACATAGAAATTGTACACAAGAAAGAATGTTTGCCTTTTTGGAAAAATCGGATTGTTTGTCTGATTTTCTCATAGTGTGTACCCAACTGTACATTCAAGGCAAGCTCTCAACCAAACTGTCAAACCATCAAATGGCCAATGTCATAACTGATCACATGCAGCACCATGACAACTGCATATCAAAGAGAGGCTAGGATACGAGGGTTAACTTACCCTTTAAACCCTCAGTTTTTATTAAGCACTTTCAGCAGCTGCATTAATCACATACTGATTATCTCATAGCCAACTATTATCTTTTAATCCATTTCTTGCAGTGTCCCAATGAGTCACCCTTGTTTGCAGGGACTAGAGTTGTGTCATCCTACACTATGTGCATCAATAGAAACACACAGTCCCACATCCTAGGATGATAAGGCATTCCCCTGCTCCTTCCCTATCCTTTCTCCAAGCTAACAGACTAACTAAAGACTACTCTATCTACCATTAACACTTTTATGTGAAGACTGAAAGTTCAGGGAAGCAGAATAGAGAAACGTAGGGACAGTAGCATTGAAAGTTGTAAATTGAAAGTGCTAGAGTAAGATGGAGTAAAAATTTTAATGCATAGTTTATTGGGGAATGTTTATTTTATTGTGCTCAATGGGTTGAACTAAAAAAACACTGATGGTTTTATACTACACTTGTCAAATGCTTTCCCTCTAAAGTTTAAAAGTTTGGGGAGGGAATAGATCTGAAGTCAGGTTTTCATTGTTATCTATATCCCCCTACTGGAGAAAGTCCCAGTGACCAGCTAAGAAATCTATTTCAACTCAAAATGGATTTACCCACATTTTAGCATCTTCCATACATGTGTCCTATTGTTTATTTGAAAATATTTTAGCACAAATACTGGTATGTGTAGCTTAAAGATGAATTCCAGGTATAGATTTTTTTTTTTTTTTTACAAAGTTACATTGATCCAGCTTGAACCAGTGTAAATATGCATATATTAAATCCTCCTGGAAGCTGGAAATCAAGCAGACACTACAGCTCCAGTACGCTCCACTTGCCTCTGTGTCCTGTGCCGAGCAGCTGACCCTCTGCATTGTGAACACAGGAGGTTGACCAATCGGCACGGATGACATTCAGAGAGTGCTTTGCATTTTCTGAATAAATGCAAAGTGTTCGTTGATTATACAAGGTAGAGAGGTGGGGTGTGACATCATGCGCTCCACCTTGTCTAATCAGAGAATTATTATTATTCAGGATTTATATAGCGCCAACAGTTTGCTCAGCGCTTTACAATATAAAGGGAGACAATACAGCAACAATACAGTTCAATACAAGAGGGTTAGGAGAGCCCTGCTCCTTGGAGTTTAATGCTTTGCATTCATTCAGAAAATGCAAAACATTCTTTGAATGCCCTTGCCCAGCAGCCAGCCTTTTGTGCTCAGAATGCAGCAGGGGAGTCACAGGAACTGGAAGAAAGTGAAGATCACTGGAGTAGCAATGTCTACTTCACTGATTTCCACCAACCAGGGGGAATGACCAGGTATGGTATATGCACAGTACATTGGTCCAAGCTAGATCAATGTGATTGTAGAAAATATCCTTACCTGGAATTCTAACTAGTAGAAAAAATGATTTTGGCTTATTTTTCATTTAAACTCTGGTGAAAGTTTTAGGGTTAAAAACACACTTCTGAAATCAAGACTGTTACCACAATGCACATTAGTGCAATGCTGCATGCACATTTTTTGGTTTATTCTTGTGTGTTGGAGGCTCATTGATAAGGAATGGGCTGTCTAAGCACAACACAAGTTAACTTATGACAACCTGTGTTAAGCAGGAAAGGAGAAGTGTGAAAAAACCCCAACAATACCAGCATTACATTTTACGTAACAGCATCATACACTGAACAATAATAAACATAAAACATTTTTTATGCAAATTTATAGGCTGTCAGGATCAAATAAAGTGAACAAGCAAAAGACATTAAGCAATTCATCCAAAAGATGCAGAGATATCACATACCCCCCTTTCTCACACAAGTGTTAGATAAAGTATGTAAGCAGATGGTCCTTACTTCTAGAGGCAGGTATGTGTGTTTTTGTTCCTGTCCAACTTGCAGACAAGGCAAATGAGGATACTTCAGCTGGAGATTATACTTTTCTCTAAAGTACTGAGCAACTGTTCTTTCCACGGTCTGCCCATTCTCCAGCTGTAAAGGAAAGCTACAAAATAAAAAATACAGAACAACATTACAACCCTATTTAGCTTGTGGTATATAAAAGGTGGAGAGAAACAGGGTTTCCAGAAAGCACAAAAATCAAAACAGGATTTATTCAATATGCAGGGTTTTTTGTGTGTGCACAGAACCTGGTACTGGTACCACTGGTAGTGGTAGTTGGCCCTGTAAACAAGGTAAAATATATAGACTTCCTCCACATATCATGGGTCCCTAACCTTTACCTTAAAGAGATAGTAAACTCAAGCATGACAAAATTTGCTGACAGGCATGGTTTTTATATTAAATGTCCCCCTTACCTGTTAGCAATAATACATTCTGACCCATGTACATGCAGCTCAGATCGCATTTACAGCCCACTCTGTGGGCAAAGTGAATCTTGTGTGCATGCACAGGAGCAATGTCACCAAAGTCTAGCCATTCAAGAGGCCAAAGATTCATAACCCAGAAGTGATACTGGTTAAGATGAAAGTGTAGAGGGAGCTGTGACAGCCCAGGCACCGGAGGGCTCAGTTTGTAGGTCTCTCAATGTACTAGTATGCGGTGCATACTAGTATAATATGACTTCAACCTGCAGGGGGCACTTTTAATAGTTTTTTTGAAGCAGACTTCATTACTGTATTAAATCTGAACTCCAGGATTCTTTTTTAAGCTACACTGGAGTTCACCAGGCTGAGATAAATGATGGACAGCATTATTCAAACCACTTCTGGGGATCCCAGGCAGTTTTAGGCCTGCCCTCATGATAAGTCAATGAGGAAGGACTGCCCACCATCACTGCTGAGAAAGAAAAGGACTCTGATCCTGCCCTGGGGCATTAAACCAGTCTGAATGTATGTAATAATGTAATTAAAAAATAAAAAAAAATACATCACACTATACATACAGGAAAGGGGGCAAGAAAGATGGAGATCATCTTTAAAGAAGGAATCCAGTTATAGCACTTTTTACTTAGTTACATTGGTCCAGCTTGGACCAATGTAACTATGCACATACTATACCTGTGGGGTCTCTCTAAAAGTTGGAAATCACTGCAGTAAGCACTGCCACTCAAGTGATCTCCACTAGCTTCCAGATCCTGTACCAAGTGGCTGCCCTGCTGCATTCTGAACACAGGAAGTCAGCTGCTCAGCATGGGCATCAGTCACATAAAGCTTTGCATTTTCTGAATGAATGCTAAGCATTTTCTATAGAGAGCATGATGTCACCATCTCTCCATCTTATCCAAACAGGGAACCCTTTGTATTCAATGCAAAAAATGAAAAGCATACTCTGAATGGCAGCTGTGCCGAGGGGCCGACTTAATGTATTCACAACACAGCAGCCACTTGATATGGGACCTGGAAGCTAGATGAGATCCCACAGGTAAGGTACAGTTAGGTCCATATATATTTGGACACATGCACAATGTTCATACTTTTGGCTCTGTATGCCACCAGATTAAATTAAAACAAAACAAAACAATCCAAATTAATTTGAATTGCAGACTTTCAGCTTTAATTCAAGGGGTTGAACAGGAATATCAAGTACAAATTTTAGAAACTGCAACCATTTTTATACACATTCCCTCCATTTTCAGGGGCTCAAATGTAATTGGACAAATGAATATAATTATAAATAAAATGTTAATTTTTAATATTTTGTTGAGAATCTTTTACTGGAAATGACTGCCTGAAGTCTGGAAGTCTGAAAACTGGGTTTCCTCTTTTCTGATGCTTTGCCAGGTTCTAACTGCAGCTGTCTTCCGTTGTTCTTTGTTTGTGGCCCTGTCTTTACTTTAGCCTTCAGCAAGTGAAATGCATGCTCAACTGGGTTAATATCCAGTGACTGACTCAGCCATTGCAGAATATTCCACTTTTCCTTCAAAAGCTCTTGGGTTGCTTTTGCAGTGTGTGTTGGATCATTGTCCATCTGTACTGTGAAACGCCGTCCAATCAACTTTGCTGCATTTGGTTGAATCTGGGCTGACAGTATATCTCTAAACACTGCAGAATTCATCTGGCTGCTTCTGTCACATTATCAATAAACACCAATGACCCAGTGCCACTGGAAGCCATGCATGCACATGCTATCACACTGGCTCCACCATGTTTTACAGATGACGTTGTGTGGTTTAGATCATGAGCTGTTCCAAGCCTTCTCCACACTTTTTTCTTCCTGTCATTCTGGTACAGATTAATCTTGTTTCATCCATCCAAAGAATGCTTTTCCAGAACTGGTCTGGCTTTTTTTTATAGATGTTTTTTGGCAAAGTCTAATCTGGCTTTTCTATTCTTCAGGCTTATGAATGGTTTTCACCTTGTGGCGAAACCTCTGTATTTGCTCTCGTGAAGTCTTCTCTTGATTGTAGACTTTGACAATGATACGCCCACCTCCTGGAGAGTGTCCTTCACTTGTCTGGATGTTGTGAATGGGTTTTTCCTCACCATAGAGTGGATCCTGCGATCATCCACCACTGTTGTCTTCCGTGGACGTCTATGCCTTTTTATGTTTGTGAACTCACCAGTGCGTTCTTTCCAAACAGTGACCAAACTGTTGATTTGGCCACTCATAATGTTGCTACTATCTCTCTGATGGATTGGTTTAGTTTTTGAAGCCTTACAATGGCCTGTTTCACTTGCATGGACAGCTCACAGTAATAGAATCCAAATGCAAATACCACACTTAGAATCAACTCCAGAACTTTTACCTGCTTAATTGATGAGGAAATAACAAAGGAGTAGCATACACCTGGCTATGAAACAATTTTTGATTCAATTGTCCAATTACATTTGGTCCCGTAAAAAAAGGGGGATGGCTACTCTAAAAGCTGTAATGCCTAAACCCTTCCTCCAATTTGGATGTACTTACCCTCAAATTAAACCTGAGAGTGTGCACTTTCAGCCCATATCCATTAAATAACTATAGCTTGAATATATTTTGGTAAATCAATGAAAAAAAAACTAAAAAAATTGTGCCGTGTCCAATATATATGGACCTAACTGTATAAGCACATCAACATTGGTCCAAGCATGACCAATGTAACTATGTAAAAAATTCCATACCTGGAATTCGTCTGTAAACTGACCCTAACATTTACCTGTATTCTCACCAAAATCCTAAAAATTAATGTGTCCCATACATTTAATGCTTGACCTTTCCTCAACACTAAAGCTGCGATTTGTGAACACCTAAAGTGTGGCGTGCTTGCGTACTGTTAACGGCACTCTACATACAAAACAGACACGTACTTCTTGTGCAGAAAAAGGCACAGTTAAAAAAAAACAAAAAAAAACACAACGTTCAAAGCTCAAAAAGGTGCATGAGCTACTTTGTTGTGTTTAATACACGCATGTGATGTGAAAACACAATCACTGCATGAATTTGTGCTAGTTAACAAATCTATAAAGTGAATGCTGCCTTAACCTTTCCCTAATTTATCCCTGACAGAATACCAAATTAAAAAAGAAAAAAGCGCCACTTACAAAAAACACCCTGTACCGCCCCTTGATGATGTCGGTGTGACGAAACCGGTTGGGCGTAGCCTATTTGATGTGGATGTTAGAGAGCCTTGCTGGTCTGTGCTGTATGGGAGAGATCTGCGGTGAGCGTTAACTGTATCTCAACCCTTTTTTGCGATTGAAGCTGGTGTCTGTTGGACACCTTGTTTGTGAGTTTCCTTATACTTTCTTATTAAAGAGATAAATGAAAAAAACGTATTGCACCATTATGTTCTCTTTTTTGTCCCTGAGTGTACTGCATGCTCTCATGGAGGTATGAGAAAGAGTGGAGAAGTTCATCATAAGAGCTTGGGCTGCAAAGTTGTTTGTCCGTGATTATTATTATCTGGAAGTATCTGAAACATCACCATATCTATTTGGACATCGGGTTCATTGCTCCCAGAGCACAAGTGCTGTTGCTGGTTTATAATCTGACCAGCCATTAGCTCTGGTGAGTTCATTTAATCTCCTTTGGTGGTGGATTTCTCACAATTGGTTCAAGTCACTGAAGATATATATATTTTTTTTTGGACACTAATTTATGTTTGGACACTATAATTTATTTAAAACACTAATGTTTTTAGGATGATGATATACACTTTTGTATAAGTTTGTTATTAGCGCATACCTTTTAATTTGGATTATCCCTGACAGAATGTCCGTGAACACAAATACCATGGCCTTAAAGCCTAATTCCAACTTGTATGTGATTTTAAATAATTCATTTGGATGAAGCTAGTTCAAATGATTTGTTTCACATATGCACGCGCTGGAAGCGCTGTATACACTGTATGTAGAATCAACTACATACAGTATACAGTGCTGTGTTCTAGCAGTGGGATGGGGATTTCCCATCCTGCTCCTGGAACAAAAAAGGATGCACTGTATTTCATCAATAAATACAAGGCTTTCTCTGACTGGCTGAGGTGGACATTGTGACATCATCCACCACCTATCTACCTCAGCTAATCAGAAGAAGCTGTTTTGTTTGTGGCACAGCATAGGCCTGATCTTTATGACAGAACTTCACACTAATGTGAAAACTAAAGAACAGTACAATGATGCTGCAGGCAAGTTTGTGTAGTACATTACTCCCCTGACACTGCCTACACACCCCATTTACAGAATCACTTTGGACTCTCAAGAGACAGCCTCCAATCTACTGAAGGATCTTTGGATTCACAGTATTGCTCTTTTTTGGAGCTGGAGTTCAGCTTTAAGCTAAACTACTTTTGACAGCCTTGGTGCCTGCACCTTCGAAAACAAGTCAACAATGGCAGCCCTTCCCCGGTATGTTCCTAAAAATTAAACCTCACCTTTGCACCACAGGGACGTTTTAATTAAACAGCCACTGGGGGAAGTGGCAATTCTCACAGACCATTACGGACAGCCTTTTATTTACCTGGGATCATGCACAATGAGGGCAGGGGAGACATTAGGAATCTAATAGACACCTGAAGTATAAAGAAGACCTGTCACTTGGCCAAATCGAAACCACATTGTTTAA